ATAAGTCGTAACTTTACAAGTAATAAAACCAATACCCTTTCACCAGAACCTTATTAAATATACAACTTAGGTTTGCAAATCTGGAACAATATTTGGCTATAGATTAAAGGTCATATTATTTTGAAGTACAGTCATCTGAACAAAAATACTGAAGTTTGGGACGTTAAGAATGCAAGAATTGCAGTTGGGTCAAAATTGACGAGATCAATATTCTGCAAAACATATATTTTTGCCACGAGATTTTAGAATCCAGTTTCATCATCCGATCAACAAAAACCATCTCCATCTTCAGATTCGGCCGTAACACATGACAAGTTAATGACTGATGTTGAGTTTTACGTAGCCAAAAAATGTTTTGAAAAAACATGTATTTTTGGGAATATGTTACTTTTAACGTTTACTTTTTTCATTTGAGAAGATAGTAGATTTTAAAGTCAATATTCATTGAAATTATTTTTTATTTTCTCTTTTGATAATGACAACGACATGACAACGACAATGACAACGACAACGACAACGACAACGACAACGGCTATATACACATTGTTCTTTTTGTCGGTGATTATACCATTCAAATTTCCTTTTAAACAATACGTTTTATGTTTATGTAAATTGTATTTAAATGAAAATCAAATTTTTATTTTTATTTTGAATAAACCATTTTCACAACTTCTATTTTGGAGAATCAGTGTTTTTTAACTTTTCATTTAAGAAAGTTAGGAACCTGATAATCAATAGGCATGGAAATGAGACCAGAATCTCAATCCCCATCCTCATCTCCATTCCCGATCTCCAATTTTCCTACCCATCACATCCCCGTCCCTAATGGGGAACGAGGATCTCCAACGAGGAATAGAATAATTTTTCCCATTTATGTGTGATATTTTAAATCAAGTGTGTTAAACATCACATTTGATCCATAATGATTGGTGTTTAGAACTCACATATTCCCAAAACTTTGCTTTTATGAAGTATTAATATAACACCTCAGAATCACATTTTGCATATAAACATATATTTCATATATCAAGAAATACAACTTTACACATTCGGTCTCATATGTATACAAAAGCTACAATACAGAAGTATCTACTAAATTTTTCTATATAATCTCAATACAAATCTTGTATACATAACAAGTACGAAAGATAACATATCATCCCAACATCCCATGTAAGTAAATATCAATTCTTAATAATATCCTTTTCCCCTTATCATCAGATTGTGTCTGACCTGTAATGTACAATTTAAAATATAAATAAGGGTTAGACCTTGAGGTCTATTAAGAAATCCCTTTGTTTGCTATTACAGAGTGAAAAATCATCAAAACACTTTTATAAATTCATATTTGTATAAATAACAAATAAACAATGTATTAACAAACAAACCTCTTTTGTTGCATCTAAAAGATGAGACATCACCAAATTATTGCATCAAATAGATAAAATCATAAATTTCTCGTATCACATGGGTAAGACAATCTCATCTCATCGTATCACACTGGTGTGATAAACCCAACTTACTGCATCACTAGGATGCGATAGATCAACTTGTTGCATCACAAGGATGCAATCAACACAACTTCTCACATCACAAAGATGCGATAACCCAAGTCATCACATCACACATATGCGATAACTCAAAATCATCGCATCATAAGGATGCGAAAACAGTTCTTCAATTTGATCAAAAACCCAGTGTTCACATATATATATGATTATGTCACATTTATCCAAAATATATCTCTCTTGATTATGCCACCCTTATAACTAAAATACACCTCTCTTGATTATGTCACCCTTGTATCCTAAATATATCTCTCCTGATTATGTCACCCTTATAAACAAAATACACCTCTCCTGATTATGTCACCCTTATAAACAAAATACACCCCTCCTGATTATGTCACCTTTATTCCAATCATTTGATATAAGCATATTAAAGTACCAAATTATGCTAAACGTAGCATAAAAACAGTTTTCAGAACTTCCCCACGTAATGAACCGTACAATTCTAATTTAACACTTTAATATAAAAGTTTGTAAATAAACTCACCGTATAGAATCATAAAGATGCAGACTTTAAAACAGCAACAATTCAAAGAATTGATCACAGAAATCAACTTCTTCTTCCCTTATCCGTTTCTCTTTTCTCGACTCTCAGAAACACACACAGAAGCTTAACTTTTCGCTTTTTACTACTTTCACACAATCCCAATAGATAATATAATTATCTCATGATAACGTGCATAAACTATTAAGAGGCGGTGTGCTTTGAAATAATTTTAAGCACATATTTAAATTAAACCACCATTATTCAAAACAACCCCAAATTTTTATAACCGATATCTTGGTTCTCACAATTAAATATTCATATGTTAACAAAATCACAACATCTTACGTAATTGTTCAATCAAACGCTTCTGACTTTTCATTTTTTTTATCTAAGAAAAGTAAACAAATTTATAAAAGAAGAAATGTCAAAGTATTGTTTCTAAATCTAGTTCTTTATAAATAATATATTTAAATAATAAATTTATAATATATTAGATAGTAAATATATAATACATTCAATATACGGGGACAAATCAGGTCGGGGGTCACGTTACCTAACCCTATCCCAATCCCCGGTTTATAAATTTCGAGGATCCATGTCCCCATCACAGTCCTTGGTTCTGCGAGGAATCCCTAGTCCAGTCGGGGCGGATACACCAGCTTTTCCAATGGAACGAATCTTATTCTCATGCCTAATAATCAAAATCTTGTTCCATAAGATAAGAACTAGAAAAGTAAACTACAACTTTGGCCTTCATGGTTTGTCAAAAATAACACCTTTCAATATGTTAGTTCTGAAATTACAAGATGGTTATTATGGTTAGCAAAAATGTTCAGATTTAACTCCTCCCTCTAATGACCGTTAAACGATTATGTTAAATGATGAGCATTTTTGTTATTTTATCGAATTTTGTCTTGTACCAATCAAACTCGATTTTATGATTTGGTCCCTATGGTTTTTAATTAGGTAAATGACAAAAAAAAAAAAAAAAAACCTCTCATTTAATGGAATTTTTATCGGTCTTAGTAAGGGAGTAGATCCAAATATTTTTGCAAACCAGGATGATCATCTTGTAATTTCAAAACTGTAAGAATGAAAATCATTATTTTTAACAAACCACATTGACCAAATTTGTAGTTTACTCTTAATTTTGATTATATTTTTACTTTGGGAATATTCAAAATAAATTGCATACTTAGGTTTAGGGGTGTTCGTGGTCCGGTTTGGGCGGTTTAACCCCTCAGACCACAAACCAAACCGTAATGGCGGTTTATAAAATTTTCAAACAAAGCAGTTTGACATCAGGTGCCCAGATCGGTCAAACCAGACCACAAAAAGGCGGTCTGGTCTGACCGGTTTAGGCGGTTTAACTTTAACGGACTTGAACATATTGAGTTTGGAATCGAAAAACTTGAAGAAAAGAGTTGACTCACTTGGTTGATGTTTGCCAAAATCAAACCATAGATTAGGAAAGATTGATAGATTGATCGAGTTCTTGAGGGATTTCAAAATTTGGAGACCATCAATGTCAAATATGTCGATATGTTTACTGGTTTAGGGATTTTTAGACGTCGATTCATTTGAATTTGATTATGATAGATGTTAGGCTTTATGTTGGGCTTAAAGATATATTTGGGTCATAGCCCATAGTCAAAAAAAGTTGGGTTTGCTAATACTAAAATAACTACATTATATATATATATATAAGTATTTGGCGGTCGGTTTGGTCCAAACTGCCCAAAAAAGATTCCAGACCGCAAACCGGACCGGACCGCGCGGTTTTGCTATTTTCCAAACCGCACCAAACTGCCAGACCGCTCAAACCGCCAAAAACGGTCCGGTTTGACTTGATTCGGCCGGTTTGAGCGGTCCAATGGTTTTTTTGAGCACCCCTACTTGGTAGAAATAATTTTAAAGTAATCAAATATTTTTGTTACCTTAACGACAGCCGACAGGATATTGAAATCTTTTAGTTCTTTACTTTCAAGAAAAAGGAAATAGTAATTTTAAAAAATAATTATTAAGTTAAAAAAACTCGAAATTGTATGGATAATCATCATTCATCAGCGTTGATGCTAAATATTTTTGATCAATACAACATCATTTTGTTTTATACTTTAAACAAAGAGTATTAGTATTTTTATTAAAATATTCATAAATCTTAGGGGCCGTTTACCAAATGTTTACATGGGTAAGCACTTACCAAGTCACATTACCTTACCGGATGAATACGACAAGCACCAAGAATCTTACCCGGTAAGAGCGAAGACAAGGACGAGAGTCTTACCCGGTAAGTGATGACGACGACTCTTACCACGGTTAACACTTACCGGGTAAGTTATTACATACAATGTCATTTTGTCGGACTCAAATCTTACCAGGTAAGTAAACGATAATGTTGAATTTTACCCGGTAAACGCTTACCGGGTAAGTGTTTAGGTAAACGGCCCCTTAGTTTGTGTTTCAGTTTTTTAACATTTGCATAAAAAGGATATTAAATTAAAACAAACTCAATATAATATATCCATTTGAGTATGTAAAAGTTCAAATTTAAACTACAAATAGGCCAGGGAATGAATAAGCAAGAACCATGGTGGAGGTAGGTTTTGATGAGAACCTCAACAAGAAGGCCATTGTGGATGCTCTTTATCCATCCAGTTAGGTGGTGCAAGGAATTTCAGATTTTAAGGGGTGTTTGAAATTGCTTATTTAAAACGACTTATACTTTTTTATAAAAGTACTTATCAACTTATTACAAGTCAGAAGAGTTTAACTTCTTTACACACTCCTTATCACTGGTTTGGCACCGGTATAAGTTGTTTATCCAAACACTCAAAAGTGCTTATTACCGGAAACACACTGCAATAAGTCAATAAGTTGTTTTTACAAACAATCGCAAACACCCCCTAATTGAAGGCATTTGAAACAGAAAATGGACAGCTATATAATAAAAACCACTTTCAATTATTAGGAAAATTTCAGAACTGTTCTGAAGAAAACAAATCAAAATTATAACACCCCTTTACTTATACAAACAAGCCAAAAATAATGCCCAATTCCTGATTATTATGGTAAAGCAACCAAAAAAGGGAATTACAGGTAACAACAACAAACACAGACCCACCAACTATTGTTATGAAATGTTTGCCTTTTGTTTTGAGGACTCTCTGGAGAGCTTTAAAGTGAAATGCCGCTCTGTTCAAGCGTCGGCATCTGCAACGGCTCCTGGAATTCAGGATTGATGGGGAACAACTGACACTGAGCGTATTGTGCCAGCAACTGATCGATCAGCACTAACGCCACCGACGCTTCCACCATCGGGACCGCTGCACCATCACCCATACCAAAGTAAATCCAAACTCCAAGCATACATATATATATATATATATATATAGGGGGTTAATCATTTAAGAATCCACAAAATCAGTATATTTTACATGATTTTATCCAATGCTAGGATTTTATCACGTAAAAAAGTTTTGCATTGTGAACCAAATATATATGAAACAAACACATTGTGAAACAAATATATGTTGATCAACAGTAATGTCAGTGGAGTTGAATACTTTTTTCTTTTTTTCTTTTGAAACAGTCAAAATATACACACACCCTGTTAGCAGCAAGTCTTAAACACACAATCACTAGTTGAAGGATGAAAAATGTTATATTTGGGTACAAACCTCTTGGGACAACACAGGGATCATGTCGGCCACGAGCAATAAGTTCTGTTTCCTTTTTATCTCTGGTCACTGTGTTTTGCTTCCTCTGCATGACATCAGAAAATTGATCTAAGAAAGAAGTTTGACTTTAACAATTGAAAACGGAGCAATGGAAACACATAATACTATTCTCTTGAAGGGGTATAAATTACTGTTTATCATTATAGATGGTGTAAAAGTTGGTATAAAAGCAGAATAGCTTATCTACAGAACTACAGAAAGTTTCAAGGCTTTACAATTTGTTTCTTCATTTTTGACATTTAAAAAGGGCAAAGTTAATTTTAATTAGTGTCTTTACAACAGATGAAACACCATGGTCGATTGCGACTGAACTTCATAACCGACTTCAGTTAAGACAATTTCAATACTATGTTTCTTTTAATTTAGTACCAACTGATCAGACATCCTAGGCTGCACATTGCACAATCATATGCTGATAAAAGCTATTAGCATCAGTATGTACAGAAAAAAAGATTAGCCTTACTCCGATTGTCGATGTAGGTTTGAAGGCTATTCTCATGTGTATGGTCTCTCCATTGGATATACCACCCTGCAAATAAGCATATATAGAGGTGACTCCATACATGTTCAACTTGAAATCTGACTACCACGTCATACAACTGATCAGAGCTTGAAAAACATACCTGTATTCCACCTGACCGGTTTGTTCTTGTCCTAACCCGTCCATGTTCATCCATAAAAAACTCATCATTATGCTCACTACCAGTCAAAAAGGTACCTACATTTTTATAGTTTAGAATAAGTCACAGAAAATTACGCAATCATGGATGAAAATCATCAGAGACAAATAGAACCTAGCTAGTAACAACAGTCTGATTCATTTCAACTTTCATATTCCTGAAATACCTGCAAATCCGCTGCCAAACTCAAAGCCCTTGGTTGCAGGTAATGACAAAGCCGCCTTAGCCAATTCAGCTTCTAGTTTGTCAAAAACTGGTGAGCCAAGTCCCTGCCATATGGATATTGAGGTATCAATCACAGATGTGGGAGTGTGAGAAGGTGCAGACAGCCATACATAGCAAGAAAGAGCTAGCGCTTACACGTGGGACGTTTCTCACAATACATGTAACAACACCACCAACAGAATCACCTCTCACTCGGACAGCATCAATAGCAGCAATCATCTTCTCTGCATACTCAGGATCAGGGCACCTAACGATGTTGCTTTCTACCTGAGGTTATTTCATACAAGAAAGGATCATTAGAACAGGAATCATTTAGTCCAATATCCATATGAAAGGGAAAAACTGAAACCACAATGACAAAATAGATCAGAAATTAAGAGGACCAACGTTTAGCTTTTAGTCAAAGGCCCTGTTACTTTCTTGATTGAGCCCAAGCATATAGTCAAAAGCAAGACAAGAATCAAATTAGTAATTCAATAGTCAACCTGATCAAGCGTCAATGTCTCATGATCCACTAGGCCCTCTGGAAGTACAATCTTGTGAGCTTGAGAGACATAGGCAAGGATCTGGTTAACATAGATATCAACCACAACGAAGATCAGTCAAAGTAAGAACTTCTAGTTCATTATGTGTATAGCAACAACGAACAGTTATAACTTGTTCAGATATGTTCTAAGAGTTTTTTCATCAGCTAAGGATTCAAGTACTGCTAGTGGAAGCCTGTTTAAATTAATAGGATACTTTGAGATATGAGAATTATATATCTGCATGTTCATATATATATATATTATTAACTCAGCACACCTCAGTTCCTGCATATGCCTTGAGAATTTTCTTAGCAACAGCGCCAGCAGCGACTCTCCCAATTGTCTCTCTAGCAGACGATCGACCACCACCCTATAATCCATCAACATGCTTATCAGTGAACATTCAAGTATCTAAGAGGAAGAACCTTACTAGACATATTTTCATATGTATTTGGATACAATGGGTACCTCCACTGATCTTGTACCATACTTAAAGTCATAAGTTGCATCAGCATGAGAAGGTCTATAAGCCATTGACATTTCACTGTAATCCTGATAAGTACAATAATTAATTTATTAAATAAGTATCGTTATGTCTATGTATTCTAAATTCTATCCAATTGAAAGCAACAAATACTTGTATAATATTGTGTTAGTATGTTAACCAATTATGATACTTTTGCATTATAGGGTACACGACTCCATGCAAATGACATCCAATATTACATGAGTACTCACTCACCTTTCCCCTTTGATCTGTATTGGGTACTTTAATCATGATCGGAGATCCAGTAGTAAATCCTGCATTGAAGCACCAGGCATCAGTCTTCAGTAATACCTTATCAGCAACTCTTTAAATACAGAGAGAACACTACAAAACATGACCATCATATGAGCAAGTGTTAACTACAAACTAACCTTCAGCAACACCTGAATATATGTGGCATGTGTCGGTTTCTTTTCTAGGTGTAGTAATACGGCTCTGACCTGGCCTCCTGTATAAGGTATTCAATAAAAGAGGCAAACATGAATATCCACTTGCGAGAAGGGATGATGCGCAAAAGTGGTCCTATACGTAAACCGGCTTTATGTCAAGTGCCATGGAATAATGAGTAGGATAATACCTTCTGTCAAGATCTACTTGTAGATCAGCCTCTGAAAGGGGAATTCGAGGGGGACATCCATCAACCACACAACCAACTCCTCCGCCATGAGATTCACCAAATGTTGTAACACGAAAGTAGTTTCCATATGTACTTCCAACAGCTTGTATCTCTGTTCAAATGCAAGGTGATAAAGTTTTTATTAACTGAATCTGAAAGTTCAGCAACTAAGAGGTAACTAGAAACCACACAAACAAATATACATACATGTATATATATATACACACACACACACATGTACATAGGATCAGGTTCAGAGGGAAACTGCAAAAAATGAGAAACTGAGACGCCCTAGTAACCATTAACCTGTACGGTATGCACATCTGCCTGTAAGTAATTTGTAATTAGTTTTTCCAGTATGCACATGTGCATAGCATGCACACGTGCATAGAAACCAGGAAACATCTTCAATTACTTGTATGCACATGTGCATACCATATTGATCAACAGTTTCTCAGTTTTTCATTTGTTTGGGGGTTTTCCCCTGAACCTAACTATAAATATACCCATCTTTAATTTATGGAAAAAGAGGCGATTCCACCAAACCTAACCAATTCTGGATGCATGATCTTCTCTAGGCTTCCAGACTTAAACTAGAGCTACAATCAGCTTCGGTAGAAGGGCAAGTTACAGCTTTTGGTGAAAAGATGTTGGGGGATTCATGTTCATAAACATCTTAGTCTCATAGGTGAACATTGCAAAATACTTATTTATATTATCATGCTCCAACCAATTCATTAATGCCTTTTAGGTGTCTATTTGAGAAAACAGGACTATGTGAATGTTCCATTAGCTATCAAATTTGTAGAATATCAATATGTATGTGAAGTTGATGAAAATTTTACTATGCACCATTTCGATAATTGCAACAGTAGGCAGTTAATAATAGGTGACACATTGATTCAGTGTACAAAATCAAATAGTTTGCTGAAAACATTTTGTTGCTAAGAGTGAAACGGAATGCACATGTTGCCATATGCCAGATGCAAGAAAAAATGTATATGTTGAAAAATATGAAGCCTGGTTTAAGTGGGATCAGATTCTGTGCATTTATCAATGCCACTGCCCTAAATATCAGTTTGTTCAGAGTTGAGTGGTTGCATACTCTACATAGCAAAAAGATAGCATTTGATTTCTGAATTGAAATGGTATGTCATTTAGATAAACATGGAAATAAAACAAGGGATGCTTTGGAAACAAAATAGTATCGACATTGAGAACAACATCCCCTTACCAGATAAAATTCAAGTACTTTATTAACATACTTCGCTTGAAAGTCACTTCATCATCATACTACCAGATAAAAACCAGTTTCTGGAATTTGGACGACGTACAAGGAAAGAAATAAGAATTTTTGTAAACAATAAAAAGTTATCAACTTTGACAAAGAAAAGAATACGCTATGTAGGTTTTGGATATATTGCGAAAACTCCAGTGCAAGAACAACCAACTTGCTTCACACCATTCTGTCCCAATTAGCGCCTTGCAAATATGGTGTTTCATTTGCAATTCAAGAATAACTGATGGTGTATTTGCAACTCAAAGTTGTTTGAGAAGTTAATCACTCATACAACAATGCTTCAATTTTCCATGTCGCATAAGAAATTGCTCCACTTAAGAACTTCTACTATACAATCTCAACCACAAATATACCCAAAAAAAATTGTCATGTCCAAAAATGTATATTCATATAGAATACAAAATCGAGCATGCGACAGGTTGAGTCAACCTAAGAGCAATTAATGGATCAGCAATTTGAAATACGGTCATAGAAAGTCAAATATCGTGGCACTCAAACTTATCAATCACAACGGTAACACAAAATCAAAATCAGAATATATCTTCCGACGAGAATGAACTGTTACACGAGAGATTACCAAATCAGAAACTCACCGAGTGTTCTAGGGCGTGACTGACGGCTAGTTGAGATTCGGAGGACTGCAGAACGGAGATCGGAATGGCGTAGAGAGCCGAAGCGTGAAGGTTCGTCGGAAGATAAAGCTCCGAGAAAGGGTTTGGTAGAGAGAGAAGACGCCATTTACTTTGCTCCTGGTGGGAGTTACAACTTGAGAATTGAGATGGACAGGTTAGGTGTGACTCTGTGAAATTATATATGTAGGTGTCTGTATATCTCGGTTGGGGTTGGTGGGAGACGCTGCCAGCCACCTACCCAAATCCATCTCAACCACGAGGACTGAGTTGGATGGATCCAGAATGAGTTGACTCGTTATATTTTCATTTTGGAGTGAATTACATTTTTTTCCATGTGGTTTACCAAAAATCTGGCTTTCGTCCCTCAACTTCACTAATTACATCTTAGCGCTTATAGTTTGCATTTTGTGTTGGTTTAGGTTCCTAGGGCTAACGATGGTTATAAGGGAGGGGTTAAGTTGCTCCACGTGGCATACATGTGAGGGTAAAATGGTCTTTTCCTCTACAACAAACATATGCTGCCTTTTTGAGTTATGACATAAAAAAGATAAATCCCTACTCCTACTCAGGGCCGGTCCTAAGATTTTTGATACTCTGTGCGAAAATAATAAAAAATGCCCCTAAGCCTATTTTTTTAAGCCAATGAAACAACGAAACATGTGATTTTTTAAAGAGTTTAGAACCTATTCAAGCTAAGTATCTCATCCTCATGTTGGTTTTTATTAATTATAATAAAAAAAATACAATGAGGAGACATAAAAACCAAAACCCCGAATCCAAAATATAAAACGATAAAAGGATAAATAATGGATTAAGATTGTGGTTCCTTCTTTTTAGTTTTCCCTTTTCCAAATTGAAATTAGCAAAATAGAAACTTTATTCAATATGTGGGACCTAAAAGACAAGGAACACTATAATTAGATTTTAACTAAAATAGTAAATTATATCCAAATTAGTGTCATAGTAAGCAAAAAGTAAAACTTAAAAGTTACAGGTCTAACGACTAAAGGCTAAAGTCAAGAAAGACAGAACCTCTGTTGTCTCTCACAGAGGTTCTGGAAACTGATCCTCTGACATCAAGTGCTTACAAGTCATATCTAGCAGAGCCTCTGGGATGACTCACAGAGGGTTTGCAGTTTATCTTCTGTGAAGAACCACTTCTCACTGTTTTACTTAGGTTTGTTAGCTGCACGTGCTTCTCACGTGACTATGTTTGTAATCCGCTATATTTGAACGGCTTGGATCATTTCACTTGTCTAGGTCTTGTCAGAAAAGTCGTTAGGAACTAGTATAAATAGCAGCTAGGTCTTTGTAATTCAGCGTGCTTCCGTATTGTAATTGTCAATATTTTCAATAGAATTGAAAATCATTTGAAGCTATTCTCTCGTGTTCTTCATATTCTTCATCTGTGTTCTTGATTGATTAACTACTCTGTTTGTTCTTATATTGTTTCCGCTGCACTGTTATTGTTCTTGAAGATCATCCAGAGTATTTGGTTAATATCATAAGCTGAATCTAAAGGTCCTAACAATTGGTATCAGAGCAGAAATCAAATTCTAATTTGATTTATTATGTTCTTGGTATTAATCTGCATTTGCTCAAGAACACCAGTCTTCTTCTTCAGATTACCCTGTTTTACTCTATTCAGATCAGTTTCATCTTATTCCTATTTTTCTTCTTCTTTCAATGGCGAATCTGACCAATACATCTTTCATGAGCACTGGTTCTCAATCTAAACCTCCCATGCTTATACGTGAGGAGTACCCCCAATGGAAGGTGCAAATGGTTAATTTCCTGGAAGGGATTCACCCAAGGATATGTGAATTTCTTTATAATCCTCCTTATGTCCCCATGAACTTAAT